CCCCCGCCCTGATCCAGGTTTGACCTCCAGATCGACTTTTTGGAGGCGGTCTTTGGCTGCAAGAAGGAGATCGACGTCGACCGCCTCGCATCCTGCGGCACGTGCGCGGGCAGCGGCCAGAAGCCCGGCACGACGCCGGTGACGTGCGGCACGTGCGGCGGCGCGGGGCAGGTCGTGCAGAACGTGCGGACGCCGCTCGGCGTGTTCCAGCAGGTGTCGGCCTGCCCGCGCTGCAGCGGGCGCGGGCAGACGGTCACGCCGTGCGAGAAGTGCGGCGGGGACGGGCGCGTGCGGGCGAGCAAGAAGATCGCGCTGACTGTGCCGGCGGGTGAGGCGCGGCTGGGGCAGAGGGGTGGGTGGACTGGGGCGCGAAAAGGTGTTGCTGCGCTGGAGCGTGGGCAGCGCCTCCAGCCTGGTGGCGTCATCGAGGGTCCCTTCCACCTCGCCTTCATCACGCCCTTCATTTAAGGGTCCGCCCACTGTGTTTGGGCCCACCCAAACCCCAACCGACGCGCCCGTCCAACGCCCTCCCCTGCTGCGCGAACCGCGCCCCTTTCGCGACTCCAGGCGTCGACAAGGGCAGCCGCCTGCGCGTCCGCGGCGAGGGCAGCGCGGGCCTGCGCGGCGGCCCGCCGGGCGACCTGTACGTCTTCATCGCCGTGAAGGACAGCCCCGACATGCGGCGCGACGGCGTGGACATCCACAGCGACGCGGAGGTGTCCTACGTGGACGCGATCCTCGGCACCCAGGTCAAGATCACCACAGTGGACGGCCCCGTGGAGCTCAAGATCCCTTCGGGCACGCAGCCGGGCACGACGCTGCTGATGGCGAAGCGCGGGGTGCCGCGGCTGGGGCAGCCGGGGTCGCGGGGCAACCACCAGGTGCACGTGCGGGTGACGATCCCCAAGTCGCTCGGGGGCGACGAGCGGAAGCTGGTGGAGCAGCTGAAGGAGCTGCAGGCCAAGGCCAAGGTCGGGCCCTTCCGCTTCTGATTTTGCGGTCCTGATTGCGCCCGCGGCGGGCCGCAGGCCGCGGCCTGGCCTTGAGGGGCGCCCTCCGGCGCCGCCGCGCCGCGGGCCGGGCGCGCGGTTGCCTGGGTGCGTCGACTCGCGCCCAGGCTGTGTTGTTTTGTCTGTGCGCTCTCGCGCTTGCCGTCCCTGGCGCGCGCGGCTGCGCGCTTGCCAGTGTTGGCAGCGGACACGGCTGCGGCCCGTGGTGTTGTGTGGTTGCTTATGGGGGTCGTGCTTGCGGCCAGTCTCGTCCCCGTGCTCTGCGGCCTCTGCCGTCGCTTTTGTTGACGGTCGAGCCCCGGCATTCCACAACCAATGTTGGCGCCCCACCGCGGACCGGCCCCAGTAAATGAGCCGACACTCGCCTTCCTCAGCACTGCGCGCTGGGGTTGTTTTCCCTGCACCGCCCCGCCGCCCTTTTCCTTGCGCCCGTACACAGCGCATCGCAGCCAGCAATCCTGGCTGCCCCCTACGTGTTACTCTCTCTTCAGCCCTGCACCCTTGGGGCCCCGCGCGGCCTGCAGCGCGGCCGCCACGATTGCGCCTGAGCAGGCTGTGGAAACAGCTGTGGTTGTCAGCGCCACCAGCGGCCAATGGTCAATATTGCCAGCGGGCACGGCCCACAGGACTGGTGCAGATCCCGGCGACGGTCGCCTCGCCACCCACGCGGCCGGCTGCTGCTGCGCCTGCTGCTGCGTCCCGGCGGCCTGCCGCCAGCCGAGCCCGCCGGTGCTGGGTGTGCCCGCAGCCGCCGAGCAGTTGGTCACCAGCCATGGCGGCGGCACAGCGACTTGCACACTCCCTGGGGGATGGGGGTAGGGCGGCAAGCAGCGGCAAGGCTGACATGTTCACACGGAGCTACAGCATGTGCCCTGCCGCGCGTTGCGGAGCATGCGAGAGCACCCTTCACCCAGCTTGGACACGTCACCGCTGGTTGAGGGGCTCTGCTGAGGGGTGAGGGGCGTAGCCCGCCGCAGCATCCAGCCTACCGTCTCGGCAGGCCCTGGACCCACTCACCTGACAGCAGCCAGCGCAGGCCGGGCAGGCCGGCGGCAAAAGGCTGGGCGTACTTGGCGTGCAGAGGCACCTGCACGGACCAGGACTGGGGCGTGCCGCCCCCGTTCACATCAACACCACTGCTTCTCCTGCTGCTGCTGTCGATGCTGCCGTCGCCGCCGCTACTGGAGCTGCTGCTACTGCTGCTTTCTGATGCCACCCCTGCAGCGTCTGTCGCCGGCGCATCCTGATCCAACTCAATCACTAGCAGCGTTGGCTTGCATACTGGGGCAGGCCTGAGGTTCGAACACGGCAAGTTCCACGCGAAGGGGGTTGTCAGCTGCTGACCGGGCAACCTGTGAATGGGCCTGTTCCATGTTTGTGCAGCTGCCAGTGTCCGCGCTTGAGTGCGGGCCGCACTGCACCCTTCGCCTATGCTCACAGTTCAAGATCCAGTGGGCCAACCAGATGAAATCGGGTGCCGGGCCGAGAGCGCTGCAGGTCCTCAAGTTGGTAGGGATCTGCAAAAACACCGCTTGGCAGTGGCTGCAGGAGCGCTGCTCGGCACGGGCTGGCTGCAACGCCGCCTGTGCGAGCTGCTGGCAGGTGTGGAGCCTGCAAGCGAATGTGCAGTGTGCGATGGAAGCCCTCGCCCTGCAGCTCGCGGCTGGGGCGGACGCCGTCGTCAAAGGGCGCCGCGTCGAGCAGCACTGTTGGGGTGAGCGGGGCTCCGAGGCGCTCCAAGGCTACTGTTACGAGGTCGTTGTTGATACAAACGGTCCCTTTAAGCAGTGTAAAACACAGCAGCGCGACATATGGCACCGCGGTTGCCGAATATGATCTAGTTATCATTCTGAAAAAATCAGCTTCAGAAGTAGCAACAGTATTTTTGAAGATGGGATGATAACCAGATAGTGGCTCATCCTGGTAGCGCCGAAATCGCTAAAGGGCGTGCAAAGTCAGCCGGTGGGCAGCTGCTGCAGTAACTCCCCCTTGCATAACATCAAACTGCATGGGCGCACTTGGGCCAAGCGCCACCTGATGCACCCGCCGCGGCACTATCTGTGAATGTGGGAGTGGTGGTTGGTATCCTAAAGTGATGGAAAATGCTGCTGTGACACACACCAGGTCCGGCACGTCACGAATCACAACACCATGCTGCCGACACGCCAGGCGTCTCACTGGTCTTCAACTCAGGAGCCGCCAGCACGTCACCATACTGCATCACATGCATTCATCGCAGTTTGCAGCATGCATTGGTCAGAACAAGACGATCCCCCAAGATGCCTGTCATGGAGTTTTTGACATTCCAGAGTTGGTTTGACCAGGACATTTGCATTTAGTCCCTTGATGTGCAAAAAGCAGAAATCTTCACGGCTTGGTGGGAAGTCCTGGTGGTAACAAGGTGTGCCATTATCAAAATGTTACTGCCGGCTTGCCTGTTGTGCTGCTCACGGTGCATTCTTGGCGCACAATTGCACTTTATACCTGCAACGAATACAGCGTTGGATGTCCCCACGTTGCAGGGCTTAGAGAGCTCTGATGCTGCCAAGTAAGGGCCTCACACAACTGCAGAGAAGAATATCAAACAAAACACCACGGGGCAACAACCACACTGCTCCTGTCTTGCGAGAACCGCGCCGACCTGTGACATAGGAACTTGCGAAACAGCACTGGGGCAACAACGCGGCCAGCTGCCGCAGACACGGCTTCTTTCACGATTCGCAACAAGAGGTGGGCTTCATGAGATGATTTGAGATTCATGGATAATCAAGACATGAAGCAGACAGAAGCAACGTAGGCCGATGTGCTAGGCTGCAGTGATGTTGCTGCAAAAGAAGACCAAACGCATACCGGCAGGTGGTTGGACGCGCGCAGGATTTCGCCCAGCTTCTGCATTTGTGACCTGCACACCAGCTTAGCCCTGAGGGGCTGCCGCTGATCGCATGTGATCAGTCCAGCCGGCGTAGCGGGGAGGGCGTGTGACTAAAAGCGCCTTGGCTTACTTGAGCGTGTCGGCATCTCTGCCGCACACAGGGCCTCTGTGTACTGATGCTGATCGCCTGGGAATTGACAGTATGAGTGCTGTGCAGTCAGAGTTGAAAAATCCTCATCCATTGGCTGGCCCAAGTGAACTATGTATTGCAACACCCGATGCCCCAAACTCAGAAAGAGGCCGTGTCTCTCCTTCAATCAGGTCATCAGGGGACATGCAGAGCCATCGCAGGCGTCCTCACAGACACATCATGGCCGGGTCTACCGCGATCTTCCCAAGTCACCCGCTTCCAACGACGATAGAAACGGCTGTGAAATGTTTGGTGCCACGGGTACGGCGCAGGGGCCGCAGGCGCATGACTTGACTCATGGTCACCGTTGCCGCTGCTAACTCCACACTGCCAAGCCCATTCACGCGCTGCAGCTCAAGTTGGGCCGTGATAAGACCTCGCTTAAACGCAAATCGCCCTTCGTGAGATTTGACCGCACAGGTTGCAGACTGTCCGATCTGGCGCCCGTCCAAGCGGCTCTTGACGTCCGTGCGCGGTGTTTCCAAACACATTTGTAGCATGCTGAACCATAAATTGCAGCGAAAGCCGCTGCAGGGCGTTGAGCAGCGGCCAACACCAGCGCTGCAGCATGCATTGTCATCTCGACGATCGACGGTGCAGGGGGCACCACCCGCGACGCAGGCGCTGCACCAGGCACGAGCGCGGCAGCAATGCGGAGCCAAGGATCTCAGAAATGTCGCACTATGCGCACGGCAGCTGCACGTCAGACGACATGATGTGCGGACGGCAGCCGCAGGGGCCAGCGACTCATTGGGCGACGGTCACCAGCAGCCGCGGCCCGCGGCCGGCATCGACGCCGACTTTCTGCGCGTCGTCCTCCCGACGGCCCTCGCGCTGCTGGTGAGGCCGCGCGCCCAGTGTGCTTGCCACCAGCTACCGCACGCCGTCATCCCTGGTCCTCCAGCAGACTGCCTGATGCGCCGCCCGAACGCCCTGGCGCGTCCGCCGTCACAGCCGCCCCTTGCCATCTGCGCATGCCCTCCGCCGCCCCCTGCCTCACCCGCAAGGTGTGCAACATGGACCGCATCTGCCTCAGCGTGGCCATCCTCCCCATGTCAAGAGAGTTTGGCTGGCCTGCAAGCCTGCAGGTGCGTCGGTCGCATGCTGGGCCCTTGTTTAGTTGGCGTCCGCAGGCCGTCACGCCAAAGCAGCAGGCAGGGTGGAAGCAGCTCCCTGTGTTCTGGTGCCAGGCGCGAACGTGCTGGCGGCAGGGTGTTTTTCGCCAGGTCCCATGGTGCGTCCACGGGCGGGCCTCCCGCGTCCTCAGCAGCCCGCACCCTGAGCTTTGGCCCCCAACTCGCTGCTCCCCGCCGGCCCTGCCGCCGCAGGGCGTGATCCAGAGCGCCTTCCTGTGGGGTTACATGGCCACGCAGCTGCTGGGCGGCGCGCTTGCCGACAAGTGAGGGGCCATGGCTCTGCATGCGGCCGGGGTCCGCGCACCCACGCCGTGCGTTCACGCCACACATACACTCACACACACACACACACACACACACACACACACACACACACACACACACACACACACACACGTGCGTGAGTGCACATACTGAGAACGCATGCCCGCTCCCTCATGTCCCGCGCCATGTCCTCCCCCGCCGCACAGGTACGGCGGAAAGCGTGTAATGGCTGGCGGCATCGTGTACTTCAGCCTCGCGTCCCTTTTGCTGCCGTTTGCGCTGTCGTCACCCGTGCAGGCGGCCGGCCTCACCATCCCGGCCATCCTGCTGGCGCGCTGCTGCGTGGTGCGCCCGCGCGCGGCGCTGTGCACGTGGTTGCTTTCTGAGCGGCTCATTGTGTGTCTTTCTTTGAGTGCACGCGGTCGGCCTATGTCAGACGACCTCACCCCCTTCAAACCCTCAGTTCTCGTAAGGATCTTGAGTTGTCAAGACCTTCATGCACACACGCGTGCTCGCATTTTATTTTCACACCCGTGGATCCGCTTCCCCCACATCAGGGCCTGGGCGAGGGCGTGGCCCTGCCTTCTATGAACAATCTGGTGGCGCGACATGTGCCGCCCTCCGCCAAGGCGCGCGCCCTGGGCATGTGCTTCTCGGGCTTCCACAGCGGTGCGGCGCCGCGCATGGAGCCCCACGCCGCTGTGATAAAGCCCTGCTCCTTGACACACTATATGCCGCATAAATGCTGGACACTGTCGGCCACCTACGTACCTCCCTATCCCAATCCAACCCAGCCTGGAGAGCGAGGCCCTTAACAGGCTCTCCCTGCCAAACGCTCTCGCCGTGCGCCTTCCGTCCCCCTTGCCGCAGGCAACCTGGTGGGCCTTCTGGTGTCACCCTTCATCCTCGTGTCCTTCGGCTGGCGCGCCCTCTTTCTGCTGTTTGGGTTCCTAGGCGCCCCCCTGCTCGCGGTGTGGAACGCCACCGTCCCTGACAAGCCGCCCGCCGCGCAGCAGCTCGCCGCGGCGAGCGCCGCGGCCGCGGCCGGCAAGCCGGCGGGCGGGGGCGGCGGCGGCAATGGCGTGACGCTGGGGCGGCTGCTGTCGCACCCGGCCACGTGGGCCATCGTGGTGGTCAACTTTGTCAATCACTGGGGGTACTTTATATACCTGAACTGGATGCCGACATACTTCAGCAAGGTGATCAGATTCGCGTGGCGTCAACCCCGTCGACCCGGCCCAGCGCAAGCCCGCATCCTGCTGACGTGGATGCACAGCACACTCTTGCCTGGTTGTCAACGCGTGCCCTTGCTCGAATTACCGTCGCCGCGCGCAGGCCCTGGGCTTTGACCTGCGCGCTTCCAGCTTGCTGGCATTCCTGCCCTGGCTGGTCATGGCGCTGGGCAGCTCGGCGGCAGGTGGGGTAGGGATCAGAAGGGCGGGGTGGTTGGGCGCAGTCCGCAAAACTGCAATTTTGGAATCCTGGCTCGTCACAGCTGTGGTCGTTATGATCAGCAGGCATGCATACAGCTGTCCTGAGCATTGTGCAGGGGCAGGCGCAGCTACACCACACCTGTACACAATTCCCCCCCACGACTGCCTCCGTGTCTCATCACTCACCACGTCACCGTCCCAGGTTTCCTGGCCGACTCCCTGATATCGCGCGGCGTCAGCGTCACCACCGTCCGCAAGGCCCTCCAGTCGGCCTCCATGCTGCTGCCCGCCGCCGCGCTGCTCGTCCTCTCGCAGCCGGGCCTGCCGCCCGCCGCCGCCGTCGCCTGCATGACCGCCGCGCTCGGCGTGACGTCGCTGGGGCAGGCCGGGTTCGTGGCCAACATGAGCGACATCGCGCCGGACAACGCCGGGCAGATGTTTGGGCTCTGCAACACGTTTGGGTCGGCCGCGGGGATCCTGGGCGTCGTTTCTGTCGGGCTGGTTGTGGAGAGGACGGGCTCCTTTGCGCCCGTGTTCCAGATCACGGCGGCGATGTACGTGTTTGCGGTGGCGGTGTGGAACGTGCTGTGCACGGGGGAGCGCGTGTTCTGAGGTTTTGGGGGCATGCGAGCAGCACGCGGCGGTCAGTTACCGCGGGTGCCTGTTCGGGGCGGGCGGTCTGGCAGCCAACGTGCCCGTGACTCCCTTAATGCTTGGCCTCTCTGTCTGACGTGTCTAGACCACACCGTGCAACTAAAACACCTGCTTTGCGGAGCCTAGCCTGCTTGGTACGAGGGCGGATTTACGGCTGGGGCTTGCAGTTGGGTTGCGAGATGCGGTGCGTCAGATAGGTTTTGGCGGCGCCGCTCTTAATGGTGAACTTTGTGTGGGGCGCTCGACACGAGGCCCCACCCTGCACATACCACAAGGTGCACTGTCAGCATTACTTCAGCGCTGCACTAGGTCCTCACAGCAGTCGAGCACAAACATGGGCAGTAGACAGCCGCTTCGCATTTGCCGCCACTTCGTGCGATGTGGCTGACCGCCCTTTCCTTCCTTCGTTCTGATACAGGGAGTATTCCAAATGCTCAGTCAAGAGTCAAGCGATTTCTGACTTGAGTGATCCGAGCTGAGGTATGCAGGAGGCAGCTTTGAAATTCGTGGAGTGTCGGAGTATTGATCCGGTGATCTAGTGTCTTGATTACCCGTAGGCCAAAGTATAACGTTGCCACGTGTTATATGACGTCGTTCGCAAGGTACCCGAGAGCTGGCACACCCTTTCCCTCGGACTACTTCCGCGCACTGAACAGGCATGTTTGCGAAGCGCGGGACGTCGTGTATCCTCCCTGGTACCGCACATTGGCCACTCGCAGCCTCAAGTAGGTTGAACATATAAGCGCAAAAATGAGGAGCTCAAGGCTGTCGAGGCTGGCGCGCCTGGCGCAGGCCCGTGCGCAAACCAACTCATCCAACGCCGCGGGCACGATCAAGATTTTTGATGTCACAGGACAGTCTCTGGGCTCGAGGATGGCTGGCTACGCGGCCCTGGCCGCAGCAGGTGCGGTGTGTGGCGGGACCCTCGCAGTGCGATCGATCCCAAGGGCTCCGTGACTGACACAAACGCGTGTCACGCAGGCCGCATGGGCAGCTCGAACATGATGCCCTTCAGTGTAGCGGGCGTGCGCTCCATCTCGCTGGCGGCGCTGGAGCCAAGCGACCGGTGCGTGCGTGGGCAGGACTGCAGCAGGCGCCGCTGCTGTGGGTGGATTGCGCGCAGCCACTCCCCTAGGCCCCGCGCTGCCTCCAGATGGCGCATGGAGGTGTACCTGTCTGTTATGGCGAACACCATTTGCGTCAACTGCGCTCTGGGCCCCGATGGCCGGTTGGCCCGCGCAGCTGGCACCTGCTCCTGCCCTACCACCGCCCTGACCGGTCTTGCCACGCCGGTTTTGAGTGACGGAAACACCATCCCCCTGTGGGGTCGGCCGTGGCCCTCTCAACACAACCGCCTACCCTGCACACTTGCACATGCACTCCTCTCCAGCCTGGTGCGTGAAAGCTTGACCATAACACAATCACGCGGCACACTCGACATGACACCCCAACCGCCACCACTCACAACCCTCGCCCCCTTACCGCCTTTCCCCACGCGCGGCCGCCCCTCCTCCTGTCCCTGCAGCTTTGTCCCGCGCCATAACAGCACCACCCCCGCTGAGCTGGACGCCATGGTGGCGGAGACGGGCTTCAAGTCGATGGACGCCCTGATCGACGCGACCGTGCCGGTCCCCATCCGCCGCTCGGACGGCATGGGCATGGGCAAGTACACCGAGGGCATGAAGGAGAGCGAGTTCCTCGAATACTTCAAGTGAGCCGCCGCTGTCTCGGAGGGAGGGAGGGGGGTCGCGGATCCGAGGTTCCGTACTGCGCTGGTGACCGAGGTTCCGGGGTCGGAGGGTCGGGTGCGCCGCAGCAGCGCGCTGCGGCGCAGCGCGGCGCCCCACCGCGGAAGTGGTGCCGCGCGACGTCGGCGCCTGGTTCGGGAGGCTCTCAGACGCGGGCGGCGGCGCTGAGGCTTGCTTGCAGGCCGGCAGCGACCTGCGGCAGGCGCCCTCCACCGGCTTGCAGCATCGCAGCGGCGCGGCCCGGCGGCGCGGCGGG